GGTGATATTGAACTTATGTGGTTAAAACTTCCAACAGATTTGGGAGTAATCAAATTATGTTGTTATGATACGGAGTAAACCTGAGGCTTTTAGGGCCCATAGGTAGTTGCCTGGGTAGAGCGAGTACTCAGCTGAAACAAGTATACGGTACAGATAATTTACTTTTTACGAGTTTCAAACGAGTAAAATGTGTCAATATCGTAAATATAGCAACTGTTACTTTAAAAAAGCTTGTTCTGTAAATAGTTCTCTTAGTCTTGTGAACAAAAACATTGCTCTGCAGCTAAAGTCTGTAAATAGCTGTCTAATAAACATAGCAACTTCTGATCAACCCATTAATTTCAGGCTTAAAGTAAGATCTGTATATTGGCTCCGCCCATTTCCCCAATAAAGCCACGCCCACTCAGAGTACGGATACATACAACTAGCCTAGTAGTTGCCCACTTTGCCCGCTTACCACCTCCACTGCCCATTTGGGCAAACCCTTGAAATGTCCTGTTTAATGAATCCAGAACCTCCAGAACAGCGGTAAGTGTCTGACTTCTTCAAAGATAGCCAGGTATAGGCTTCCTGACTGGATGTAAGGTCAATACACAAGAGGGACAAATAATGGGTGGGGCATCCATAATCCAAAAATAAATACATACATTCCCGCCATACAGCTCATAGATGTTGGGGAAATGGACCACACCTGGTGGCATCTACCTGAAGCAAGGAGGGGCTCAAACTTGAAGAGCAGCTCTATTGTTTGGAACCTGTGCGACTGAAACGGATGGTTCCGTCTGAGGAAGTGACATTATAGTGTCATTGTGCAGGTTGTTTACTCATACCTGGCTCTTTGTACCAGTGAGTGTTGGCAGGGACGAGCACACACCGCCACCAGAGGCCCACGGTCCCGTTGAGGCGGAACAGGGTGTCGCTGTAGGTTTTCTCGTCAAACTCCCCGTCCATGAACTCCTCATACAGGGAGCGCAGCTCGGACACGTTGGCCTCCCCGCGCACGGTGGGGCTGCTGTACTGGTACCAGTGCTGCGTCCCGATGGCCACAGACAGGTACACGGTGGCCAGTATGCTCAGCACACAGGCGATGACCAGAGCCGTAGCGTAGCGGTTGTCAACCATTGTTCACCGAGGCGGAGACACGTCAAAATAGGGGATTAAGTTTATGCCAGTGGTAGAGTCGTCGCGCATCAATTTGGTCAATCTTGCGATGCTTCCCGTCAAAAAACGCTCTTCTCCCAAGTCACTCTGGCATCGCCAAGTCTGCAAGAACACACTCTGCAACAGCCAACGACAGCCTTGTATTTTTAATGATTGATACTCATCCCCAGTGCTGTCCTAACCGTCAGCGTCGGCAGCCCTGCAGGCCGGCTTGGATGCGCCATCTGTTCCCTTGTCCCACTTCCACAGATGGTGGGTGGCCCGACGCTGCGGCAGTTATCACACAGCTAGTCCGCAATAACAAGCCCTAGTCACCCACTAAGAAAGTAAAACAATCCTGTGTTAAAAAAACAAAAATAAGATACGTTGTGTCCTTACCCCAGCACCAGCCTGCAAATGCAAATTGCATGGGTCTGTTTTGGACAGCGGGGGGATGCCGGGTGCACCCAGGATGATGAGAGTTGTAAACACACTAATCCATGCGTATTCCTCTTCCGGTTCCGCTGATCATCAGATACAAAAATAACCTTTCCAAAGCCTTGGTCGCGTTATTCCATCGACGTAACTCAGAGAGCAGTCACACACACACAAGGCAGTTTTTGGAGAAAATAGCAAAATAAAACCTTGACACAGATGGTTAAAGTTAAAGTTGTTGTAAAGGTCTGTTATTCTAAAGTTTAAATCTACAACTAATTATTATTTTATTACTGATTAATTGTTTGGTATGTAAAATGAAAGTTAAAAAATGTCCATCACATATTCCCAGACCCTATCAACTATTTGTTTTTCCCCATCATATTGTGCTATTTATAGCAATTAAAGGCCCTTGAAATAAATATGCTATTATTTAATTATTCATTCTAGACCTTGGTCAAACAACATGTAACCCACATTAAATTTAGAGACAAGGGGACAACCAGCAGGGTAATTGTTTTCATGACATTGCCTGGACTGCAGAAAGCTGCAAGTTAAGTTTAATTTAAGTTGGTTTCATAAACAACTAAACAAAAAGCCCCAGTTCAATTCAATACACTGAAGCAGCAAGGATAGCAGGATCCAAGATCTCCCAATACATCCCATCCACCTTTTGTGGATTGTTCATATTTGTGTATGTATTCAAATAATTAACTATATTTTATATGACTTTTTATTTTATTCGCAATGAAATTCTGGTGGGGAAATAGGCAATTATTAAGACTGTCTGGCAGTATTTGAATAAATAAGAATCTCATAGTCAAAGCAAACTATGCACCACTTGCAGTTCTCTTTCGAAACAAACCTGATTCACTGGCTCAACAAAGGCTGACACTGATTGTAAGATGCTATTGTAAAACTTTATTGTATGAAGTCAACGAAAGGGTTCAGTTACCTTTTAAACACCACCATTGCTTTTATTAAAGCTCCGGACATTAAACATGCCCTGAGAAAAATTTCTCTTTACCTGCCATAATTGCATAACATGACACGAGAGACAATTTAAATTGTTCAAAGATTTTGTATTCTGATCATTAAGTTTCTTACAGAAATTGTACAAACTACAAGGAATCTCACAGAATGCAACTATGCATGATTAGATAAATACACTTTGCATAAATAATATAATTGACAGTGAATTGTTTAGAAATAAAGTATATATCAGGTATACCATGACCCTTAATAAATCTATGCATTGGTTAGGGGTTGGGGTGTCCAGCCCACTATGAACTGCATTTGTTCCTTCATTTAACTTAAAGCATGTTTTCCCTTTACAATATGCTCTCTGCGGAGCTGTAATGATGCTACTATGCTATGCTATCAAGTGAAACTTAATTTAACATACATTTGAAGACTATAGAAAGATCAGATCATCATCATCATTATAGGTTTTAAAGTAAAAGGGATTTTGATGAATGTTTGCTTTTACAAATTACAAATACATTTCCTTCTTTCTTAAGATAAAGACTAACTTCACAAACAGTCCTATTTAAAATCTAGCATTCACATATCTCAATCTGCATGTTTCAAAATAAAGCTACAATTGCATTCAGACAGTGGTTAATTTTACGGTTTTACTTTCCAGTGTGGCTGATTTTACTTATTTGACAAACAAAACTATTAGTAATTTACTCTTAAGTTCAATATAGCGACAGCACAGTGCTCAGTGAAGCAAGATGAATGAATCATTTTCTAACTTCCCTTGGCTTAATAGATAGTGTTCTTATATAGTTTTATTATTCTACTGATGATTCAGTAGACCGGGTGTGTAGAGTTGACTGTGTCATTCTGTCCAGCCCAGGATTCTGGAAGTTCCCACACAAAAATGTGTTGAGTTCAACAGACATACAGAATACCCTGTCATTAATATCAGTTTAGTGTAAAGTTAAAAGTTAACCTGAAACCGTACACCACTAAAGACAATCATGATTCTTGGATTTTTACCAACAACGTCCTGATGAATGTCCTTTTTCATGCCAGTGATGGCAGTCATGTTCTCATGGCAATCCAAAGGAAATCAGCATTGATGCTATTGCCGGCTTGTCAGTAGCCATGACAACAGTACAAGGCAGGATGTGGTCACAAGACTGAATCTATTGTGGCTATTCCACTTTGAAGCTGTAAATGAGAGAAAAGGAAAAAAAAAAATCAGTTTTAACAACAGATGTGTAACTTTTTGAAATTTTTTTGATCAAAGAGCACTCATTATAGCTTACCTATGCCATTCACAGTGATGGAGCTGCCTTCAATGTCGAAGCCGGTGACGATTGAAGATGCATTGATCAAAACATTACGAATCTGAGTGTTGGTAGGAACAGATGTCCTTGCAAAGTTAAGGTCCATTTCAGTTATGATTGATCCATTTCTGCAACCAAAACACATAAATATTATTTGAAATATTAGATTTAGGCCACTACTATTCAATTGTAACACAATAAGTCTTAACAAATTACCTGAATGAAACTACATCCAAGGACTGGAAGGAGGATGGGAATGCCTCTTGGAAGATAGGTTGAAGCTGCAGAAACAGAAAACAAATTGTATTTCAACTCTTTTTACTTCTATTTTTGCCCTAGAACACTGAACTGTGTGTATATGAGATAAGCTGTCGTGATAAAGTCCCAGTTATCTCTTTGTAATCCATTCTTTTTGGAAATTTGAATAAGGGAACTTTTATGTATGGTGTCTAGCAAGCGTGAAGATGAGTGTTGTCTAGTTTAGTAGTTTCTATCTTTTTCTATTTTGTGTTTTCTGTTCTTTCTGTAGTACAGAAAGCAAATTGAGGCCAGGAGACAGACATACAAGAAAAACGTTATGGGCAACAATTGGATTTAAAATGAACTGTTAATTTTTACAGTACTATGATGTTTCTTTATGTGTATTTCTGGTCAGTGTGCACATTTTTTCAAATGGTATCCATCACACCAAACATTTTGCAAGCTGTGTTTCTTCATACTACATAGTTTTATGGTATATAAATATGTAAGTTTTAGTATGCCTTAATGCTTGGTTTTAATGATGAAATTGGTAACAGTATAATACAGCCCATGATTTACAGTGTCATTTTGTTGTTGAGACTATCGGAACCAAGGTAGTAACAATCTGACTTTTTTTTTTAATTATACATTAAGTATTCTTATAAGTACTGCTTACTTATGGGGTACAGCACAGGAAAACAAAAGTTTGGGGAAAAACAACACTGATATTCTGTGAAACATTTAAAGAAAGAATCCCATCAAAACTGTGGGGGTACAGTAATATAGCTGTTTTGTTTCCCAGTAAAGTATCCCACAGGTACCAAGTATTTATAAAAATAAATAAAGTATAACTGATTTCTCCTTTCCTCTAAAATGGCCAATTCTAACTCCCTTATTGCTCATTGTCTTGTTTTCTTCCTCCATAGCTACATTTAAGGAGCAGTAGCAATTGGTAAGTATCTAATTTTTATTTTTATTTATTACTTTTTTATTGTATTGATATTTGAATATCTGAATTATTATTATTTTTGGTACCTAATTTTTACATATTGAACAACAGGCTGCATTAAGTGTTAGCTTAACATTGCAGTTTTTTGAGTGGGGGCTTGAGCTCTGATAAAATGAGTCAGCAGATTTAATTTCAATGCTTACCTGTGCTTTTATCATTGCAGATCGAATTCTAAAAGATGCAGATGATGGATCATTCAAGTCATTTGTAAATGTGTCTAGAAGAGATCTGAAAGTTGTCCTGATTTTTGTGACTGCTACAGTTGCAGGTGCAGCAGTTGCAGGCCTGGCAGTCGTAGGTGCGGCAGTCGTAGGCCTGGCAGTC